AAAGTTTCAGTAAATATCCTTCCAGCTGCACAGCATCTGATACCAGAGGAAACAATCATCCAAAAAATGAGATTTACATCCAGAAAAAGAGGAAATAAAGTTTCCAAAAGCAAAATCTCAGAATGAAAGAAACAGAGCTGCTCCAACATGCAGCCACCTGGAGCGGAGCAATATATCTAGAACAATGTCCAGGCAGCACGGTTCTTCTTCACAGTAACTCATTTAACATCTTACCTCCACATCAATCTGGTTTCAGGAAACAACACAGCACAACCACTGCTTCACTGAAGGTTCTTAATGATGTTGTTGAAGCACTGGATGCTAAGGATTATTGTGCTGCACTTTTCTTAGACCTGTCTAAAGATTCTGACTCTGTGGATCAGAACATCTTGTGTCATAAACTCTCAGAAATCGGTTTCTCAGAACACACCATTGGTTGGTTCTCTAACTATCTCTCAGACCTGAGGCAATGTGTTCAACATAATGGTACTTCCTCCAGTTATTTAACAGTCAACAATGGTGTACCACAAGGCTCAGTCTTAGGACCCACCCTCTTTACAATCTACATACATAATCAGAATCAGAATAAACTTTTTTGGCATTGCACCGAGATACAACGAGAATATGTACGTACAGTCGTCTGAAGATGGACGGAGTGCACAAAGCTGCAGCTATAAATAATTAGCGCGGCCTCTTATTCTTATTCAGAATAATATTTTGCTTAGATAAGAAAAGGAAAGAAAACATGAGGAGAGACGGTATAAAAAAAGATCTCTCACACCGTGTCCTAGACAGGGCACGATTTGAGGCATCAAACAAACCTCCACAGCAAAGCAACATAAACAGACGTGATACATGAACATATAGGCCGTGAAGACAGAGAATCTTTAAGGGAAAGTCGTAGCATAGTCCAGAGCCCCCCCTCAGCCATTGTCCAGATAAGAGGTGACGTTCATCTTCAGCTCAGTTGAGGTTCTGTCACATGTCCTTGGGGGAGGGAGGGGTGAGGAAACAGTCAAAGCATCTTTGTTGTTTCCTGAACATTCCAGGAGGAGTTGAGATAAGTCCGGCATCAAGGCCACAGTTTGGGTCAGGCAGAACTCATGAATTGTTGTTTCTGCCTTTAAAGTCTCGCTGGTACATATTCTCTGATGGAAACTCCAAAACAGCCAAATTGATCCTTTACTCCAAAAGTCGAGCTCACAGCTTCTCCAGATTATTCCACCATTCATGAGTGCTGCCAGGGAGATCACAGTCCTGATAACAGCTGCTCCAATTCCCTGTCACAGCTCCACATTCAGTCCGAGCTCTGTCAAGCTTCAACACCTCCACACGAATTTGTAGACAACCAGATTCCACCGACCCAAACAGTAGATTCTAGTCGTCATCATGAATCCAATTTGTCCTCTAGAGTTCAGAGGGTCCTCCTTACCCTGACCCCTGTTGGGAGAAGTTGATTGATTTTGTTGAGAGACCAGCTGATCCTTCCAATTTAGAGGTATGCAGGAAAAAAAAGAGGCTTTTTAAGGTTCACAGGACAAAAGAGCGCAGCAGGGAAGGGGGTGGGGTGGGGGGGGACACATCTGGTTTCACCGTAGAATAGCAGGAAAAAAAAAATGTAGGTAAAAACATCCCTGATGCATCCATACATTTCTATGCTGATGACACAGTTGTTTATTGTCGAGCTAAAACTGTTGCTAAGGCTTTCCAGCTTTTGAAATCTGCATTCAACATCATCCAGACTGATTTGTTCCGCCTCAAGCTTGTCCTAAATGCCGACAAAACCAAAGGGATGTTTTTTTCAAACAGGAAGTTGGTCCCAGCAGTTCTTCATCAGATTTTATCCTCAAATGGGGATTGCAAAACAGGAAAAAGTCACAGAAAAATAAAGTTTAGGAAAACACCAGTTTGTATGCTGAATCAACCTTAACTCAGTAAATAAAACTGTGAATTAACACTTTCAAAATGGTGATTTAAATGTAAATTTAAACCGTATGTCTTCTGTTGATCTGTGTTGTCTGTACAGAGTCGAGCAGTGAGAGTGAGGCGGAGAGTGATGAAGACTCTGAGAAGAGCTCCAGTGATTCTGGGAAGAGCTCCAGCGAGTCTGAAGCAGAGCAGAAAAAGAAGAAAGGCAAACCAACTGATGCTGACAGGTACAGCCGGCACATGTATGACCTATGTCCTCATTATGACCTCACTATGACCTAACTATGTCCTCATTATGACCTCACTATGACCTCACTATGACCTCATTATGACCTCACTATGACCTAACTATGTCCTCATTATGACCTCATTATGACCTAACTATGTCGTCATTATGACCTCACTATGACCTCACTATGACCTAACTATGACCTCATTATGACCTCACTATGACCTCACTATGACCTAACTATGTCCTCATTATGACCTCATTATGACCTAACTATGTCGTCATTATGACCTCACTATGACCTCATTATGACCTCATTATGACCTCATTATGACTAACTAATGACTGACTGATTCTGTTTGGAATCAGTCAGTCCTCCATTGCTCGTCTACAACTGGTCCAAAATGCTGCAGCCCGATTTTTAACTGGTACAGGCTATAGAGAGCACATCACGCCAGTTTTGGCCTCCCTGCACTGGCTACCCATTCACCTTCGGATCCATTTCAAAATTCTCATGTATGTTTTTAAATCACTGAACAGTTCCGCCCCATCCTATCTCACTGATCTTCTGCAGCCATATGTCCCACCGCGCTCTCTGAGGTCAGCAGACCAGATGCTTCTCTCAGTCCCAGAAACCCGTCGTAAGCTCAGAGGTGACAGGGCTTTCTCTGTTGCAGGTCCAAGACGGTGGAATGAGTTGCCACTGAGTGTCCGGCAGGCTCCCACACTCTCAGTCTTTAAGTCTCGCTTGAAGACCCACTTCTATTCTCTTGCCTTTAACACGGTGTGATTTGTTTTGGTCC